GAGAGAGTTTTTTGTCCCATACACTCCTCTGAAGCGAAGGAATTAATGCTTTGTACTGGGTCTGCAGTACCTGACTGAAAATATAGTAATCTGGGAGCTTACTAAGGAAACCCACTCAGGCTCTCTCCTGCCATCTTTCTCTTAGTGCTCCTTCAGTATCTCCCTTGTTTCTTAATGCAAGAGATGCATTGTTACTTTGGCAGCAGCATAGACCCAACCTAAAATTATTACTTACTCCTAAGTGTCAGAATTGGAGAGAGAGTGGGTCAAAATCTTGAATATTTTTCTTCTAGCTCTAACATATATCTAATCTAACAGTTGAAAGTTTAGATTTTTATTCCATTAAGTTTCAGACTAAGCCTTAGATTTGCTTTTCAATTAATCATAAAATCTAAGTGATGTTATACAACGTACCTCGAAGGATTCCAAGAAATACAACTGCAGCTTAGTTTACATGAGATTTCATGCTGCAGTGACCACTGACTGAGATTCATAACATCTGGGGCTTCATATATCCTCACTACTCCATCTGCTGAACAGGTTGCTAACATAAGACCCATATGCTTGGGAGCAAACTTTACATCTGTAACAGATGTTCTACTGTCTACCAGTGTGGTCCTCTTTACCTAAAGACAAATACAGAAACCATTAAAGAAAGAAATGCTTATGAGGTTCCATTAATCATATTTTCACTGTTATACACCAGGGAAGCTTGCAATGCAATCATGTGGCCACATAAATTGTCATATAACTTGTTCTCTAAAGCCTAGTGTCCGCAGACACCCGAAAAAAAAAAAGTTACTGGCTTACAGATACTTTTTGCACAAAATTAACTAAATCTGTTGAGTAACTGATCTAGTTAACAGTACCTATGGTGCTATTTGCATGAATTTAAGTGTATTAATATTGATATGATTTATTTAAATGTACTAAACAAATATATTTCTTCACCATAACAGCTGTGCATGTAGACCAACCAGTGTTTAGTCTCTTTATATATAGAAAGATAATCTTCAAATGTGTATTCCTGAAATAGTTTCTATTCTAAGTGTAGACTGCTTAAAGCCATAGGTCTGGAAGACATGAGCTACTGTTGTCATATTAACACATGCTTATCGTAAAGCCTACTGACCACATTTTTAAATGTCAGTGCTGGAATGCTAGTATTTCTGGTGCTGTATCAGGAAGTGATACTATCTAGTTATTTAAAAATAGCTTGACAAAGTCTGTAGTGTATATTGGAAGACAATCTTTAATTAAAAGAGGTAGTGAGCAAAACATGGCTTTTTTCACTGTTTATCTTTTTGGTCAAGTGATTTTTCACATTTTTTAGATTCAGGGTCCCCAATGTTAGACTCTTACCTTCCACTTGTTGTTTGACTATGGGGAAATAACACAATTATTCTAATCCAAAGAACTCAGAAAGATCACATCTCAGAACATTTTTTGACACTGCTTTCCTATTTGGAATCTCTAAGTTTATCTTGTGAATCATATCTAAGTGTTTATACACCTAGTAGTGCCAATATCACACAACACCCTACAACTCTGGTTTAGTTATTCTTTATTAATAGGGACACTTTAGAAAATGAGATGCACTCTTCGGATGTATTTCAGAATAGGAAGTGGGAATAAGAGGTGAAGAGAAAAAAAATAAGGACATCAAAGGACAATAACTTGGAGTTTTAAACAATTTTTAACATTAAAAATTTAGCCCTGTCATTCTGAAGTTTCAACCACTGAAACTGTGGTCCTTAATTATAAGCAAACAATAGATAAGGCACAAAAAACATGAAAACAAACACGCCTGCTCAAAACCAATGTTAGCATTTCAAGTCTCACCCAGTGACTCTGCCCTCGGAGTTTATCATTCGACTCTCCCACTATCTCTTCCCACACAGCAGCAGTTCTGTCAAAAGAGCAAGAAGCCAGGACCTGTCCAAATTCAGGATGAGCCCAGGTCACTCGCCAGACAGACCCACTGTGCGTCTGCAAAATAAAAAAAACACTGTTGTCTGTAGAATGAAAACATTTCTACAATTCCAAATCATCTAAAGTTCACCTCTTGCAAAAGTAGTTCTCTGAGGGGGAAAGAAGTTACAGCTGTACAAAGGTATCAAATCTAGACTTCAGACTCTCAAGAGAATGCTCACTAAAAAGCTGCAAATTCTCTATCAACTATATTAAATATTAAAGACCACGTTAAAAAAGAAACTACAGCTACCGCAAATATCAACCACCAAAGGTCAATTAATAAACTTTATTCACCAACATTAGATTACTATGAAACTCCTAAATTTCAAATAGTAGTTCAAGTGCTAATTAGTTTGGATTGATTACAAATGAAAGTAATATTTTTCCACTACCAACCATTGCCATTATCACCTATGGCTCCTCTGTGCTTCTTTCAAGTCTGTGTTGAAGAGAACTTACATTATCTTCCTGCCTCTTTGCAGCTCCTTTCTCCAAAGGAGTAATGGCTCTCATATCTCTCTAGCTGCACATATTTTTTTGCTAAAGGAAAATGGCTTCAAAGCTTTGCCTGATTTTGTAAATGTAGGACTATAACATTTAATCTCCATGTTGCAGGGAGAGACAAGTCGGGGGACCCAAAAGGTCAAGGGGGGAACCCCAGGAGCAAAGGTCGGGGGACGAACCGAGGGAAAAAAGCAAAATTAAGAAAGAGTACTCACCTGCAGTGAAACCTGCGGCGAAGCAGGAGCACTGGGAGGGACCCGCGCGAGCCATCAGCCGCACTTTCATACAGCTACGGCCGGCCTGTGACGTCAGCAGCAATTACCGGTCAGCGGGGATAAAGAGGACAGCCCCCAAAGAGGTGGGGGGACAGACGCCGGGAGAAACCCCAGCCGGAGGGGTCTGCAGGAGTCTTGGAACGGAGTAAGAAACAGTGGTTCCCAACAGAGGAGGATCCGACACCTCATGCGGCAAGGGCGGAGCTGCTGATGGCAGCGAAGGTAAACCCGCACTCGGGGCAGGAGCTCCGATGCGGAGAAGGGAGGGGAAGGCAGACAAAGGCTGGAGAGACCCCGAGCCCGGCAGCCACCGCAGAGAAGGGGGAGGCACTGATCCTCCCTCCAGCTTCCAAACAGGTGGGGCGGTAGAGGGACTTGGGGGACCCAAAGGTACGCCCCAGGGAGAGCGGCATTACTGAGGCCCCAGAGAGAGGGCAATACCATTGAGAAGGCCCCGAGAGAGGGCAACGATACCGAGAAGGCCCCGAGAGAAGGCAGCACCATTACTGAGAAGGCCCAGAGAGAGGGGGCAACATTACACAGAGCCAAAGGGGCCAAGACGAGAGAGACCAGGGATAACCCTGAGGTCTCGCAACCACGTGGGGAACCTTAGATAGCCCCTAAACAGGAAGTGGGTACTGGGAGGATAGGAGTGGGCCCTGGAGGCCAGATATGAGTACTGAGGTGTACCTCGGAAGAGGTAGGAACACAGTTCTGGTGGAGGTTTTTTTGTAAAGTATTTTGTGTTTCCCCCACGTCTGGAGGGGTTGAGTGTAGAGGGAAGAGAGGCGAACCAGGGGAGGGGTGCGCCTAAGGATTAGGAGACATCAGCAAAGAACACCAGAGGCCTGAAAGCCAGGAAGACACTAGACATCCATCGTGCGGGAGAGCAGCCACAGGACCAGCAGTGGCCCGCCAGGCTGGGTATAGGGTGAGGGAGAGGGGAGCTGGAGCCTCGCAGAAGACCGCCGGAGGAACGAGTGGCCAGCGAGGGAGTCTGAGCAGTACCGAGCCCCGCCACTGTAGAAGATTCAAAGTCGTGGCAGGCGAGATAGGGGTGGACTGCGTCACGAGTAAACACCTCCTAGAAGGACCACCTGCGACAGCGGGGCGGATACTTGTGTGCATCCAGATCAAAGTCGCACGGGACAAGATGTTCAAGGCCAGGAGGGCACACCCCATTTTATAAACTCAAGAGCAATTTAAAATTTGATGTCCTTGTTCTGTTCTGGAACTATGCTGACTAACCCTGATATAAGACAGTTCTCAGAAAAAGATAGGAGGAGTTACAGGGAAAAGTCATATCTTATAATATCTGATTTATTTTTGTAATTTCTGAAACAAGAGATTATCTCATTCCAGAAATGCACTGCTAAGTAAGTGTAAAAGTAACCAAAATACTCTACTGAATTTTTAGTCTGTACTAGCCCCTGAAAACACTTTCCTGTTACTAATAACATATTCTGTAAATATAATGTAGTACCTAGTACAGGACTACATTACCACCACAGTTTTAAGTCTCTGAAAGCTAGCATCAGATGTCTACTTGCTTTTTAAATGAGAAGCACTGAATTTAGGAATTTAGACACTTGCTAATTCTCCTTTTGCTACCATATAAAAGCTTCATGAGCCAGGAGATGTATGTGGTAACCGTGTTGGTCTGAGACAAAAACAAATGCAAAAATCTACAACTCTTGGTTCCAAAGTGATACCTTCTATTAGACCAACTGAGAAATTACAAAAAAAACACAAAGAAAGAAAGAAAAAAATTGCAGCATCCTCACTCATGAAGAAATGCACGTGAAGGGATTTACTGACAAAACGCAAGGAATTTCTGACATAATTACTGATATGTAAACGTACAAATAATCTTTACCTTCCAGCTGGCAGTACAGTGCCAATCCCCATTTTCACTTTTGTCCCAGACCTATTAAACAAAATACAATCATAAACCTTGCTGTAAAGCTTTTTTCATCCTGCAAGAAATGGAAGGCGAACAAAGCTGCCACGGTAGTACTGGAAAACATAGATAACTAAAAAAAAAAAATAGCCATGCCATGCAGTTCCATTTTCCCCTTAAAACCCTGCCCTATCCCAGTATGCTCTTATACCCCTCTTTTGAAAGTAGTTCCTTGCAGAGATCAATTCTGCAGAATCAGTTGCAGGAAGTGTGTTTCTTTAAAAAAAAAAAAAAAAAAAAATGCAAGAACTTGTTTATAAAAGGTCATGTTCTGCATGACTGCACCAAAATTAGTAAATTTCACCCCCCAACCCCCTATGGATCTCATGTCCTATTTAAACTCAAGCCAGAAGTTTATAATAATGAAGATGTGGAATGATGACTGTCTCTGTGGCTGCTGAGATATTAAAGAAGTCACAACTGAGGTATGAGGATTTTTATGCCCCAAATCATGCAACTTGCCATGCTACATGTTCATGAGCAATTTTAGAGATGAGGCATAAAATGCCCCAGACCACAATCACAAGACTCCCAGCTGTCAGGGCTGCCCTGTGCCAATACCAACAATCAGCTGATCATCAGGATTTAGCAGGGAGCAATCCCTGGTTAGGACACAGCTGCCCTGTGGCCAATCTCTGATACTGGACTAGGGCAACCCTAAGTCCCAAGCTGACACTCAGGCTGCCCTTTACGCAATCTAAGGGAAGGGCTCCCTGAGACCCAGCAGGTTTGCTGCCTTCCACTGCCATCTCCAAGGGACCTATAGAGCAAGGCAGCAAACCTGCAAACTGTAGGGAATCCCAGAGCTCCTCACCCAGTTCCAGACCCAGGCCTGCCCCAATCAGATTACTGTCAGCATCTGGATGAGGCAGCCCCATGTCTGTGACATGCCACACACCGTTTATAATACCAAACAAACCAGCCACAAAAAGATCAGTAAAAATCTGGAACAAATGTGGAACATCTTTGTGGCTGGTTTACCATTTGATGGCACCATAAATTGGCTTAACATATGTCACATCACATATTAACCTGTTAGGCATTACATTAATGGCACAATTGCCAGGGCCAAATGTGTATATGACCAGATAAAGGTTACAACTTTAAGACAATTGGGGGGGGGGAATTGGGACTTCAGGTGACAAGTCTAAACAAGTAAAATTTCAATATTCCTAATGCGGTGACTAAAAATGCAACTCAGCACTTACATGGAAACATTTTTCAAGTGACTGACATTTAAAAATTTTGTATTTACTTGTATTCAAGATGACCCCCCAACAGTCAGATTCTCTACATAGAAAAACTATAAATTTGTTATAAATTCCCATGTAGAAAAACTAATTATTGGAGGATTGCCTTTAATTCATGCCCTCTACTGCTGCAGGGGGGCAGGCAATGAGGCAGGTTGCATGGATAGGTTAAGTAGCTTGCCGCCTGCCACATTGCCACTTCTACCCCCTGTAGGCCTCCCACCCCACCCCCAGCCCTAGCCCTGCCTTTCCCCCATCCTGTCCCCATCTTCTGTTCCCCTCTCCCCTCCCCAGACTGCTCCCCACTTTCCCTGTTCCCTTATCCTTGCTCTGTGTTGAAAGGCTCTAGACCCTTTCCAGCCTGAGGCCCTAAACTCAGACCTAGCCCAGGTCCATAGCAGCACAGTGCCCCAGACTGCAGCATGGCTAAAACCTGCTGGCATGAAGCATAGGTAAGGGGGTGGGAAGGGGAAGAAAGGGCCAGGTAGAGGAGCAGAGTTGCACAGGGTAGGGACATGGGAGGAAGGAACTTCAGGGGGAGATGGCACAGTGCAGAGCTGGCAGTGAGGGCAGAGAGCAGCTGCAACTACATATCCCACTGCCTTCATATTGATTTTAAGTGGAGGGGCTTTCTCCCCAAAGTTAAATGAGGGGAGAAACCTTTTCTTAGAATCAAATAAATACAGTATATGAAATGTTGTAAAAATAAATGACAGTCCAGAACATGTGTGAGGCAAGCATTTTTATGGGTGATATCTTTTATTGGACCTACTGCATGGTTGAGATAGATTTAGACAAGTAACAGTGTTATATCAGTACTACAAAAGATGCAAATCTTGCCAAAGACTTGCTTCAAACATTTCCAAAAATTTGTAAGTTAATAAATAAGAGAAAACTTAATATATTCTAAACAGATTGTGAAATTTACTACCTCTTCCTTTGTGGGCATCTGCAGTCAGAACACAAGATCAACAGTTTAGGAGTCTTTTTTCTACGCCCACTGTCTCTCATTTGGGTATAGGACCTTGATCAAATCACTTCCACTCTCTTTTCCTCAGTAATCTCACATACCAAAAAAGATGGGGGCAATCTAGCTGCATCTTTGTGACAGAGTCTACACAAGATGCTATTGCGCAGTTATTACTGCTCGTTTATTTAATGCATGTACTAACAAGTACTAGATAAATGTACAGTAACCTCAGTTTCTGCAGAGCAGCACTGGCAAATACAGTACCTTTTTTGTGATGCTACTGTGCAGTAGTATCACCTAACAGTTTTTGCCACATGACACTACTGCACAGAAGTACTAGGCTACTGCGTAGTCAGCATCTTGTGTAGACGCGCTCTGTGGCACCTTCACATAAATGGCTGAAGAAGTCACCAATCACAGCAAAGGAGTAAGTGCACTAGGCATATGCAATCTATTCTTGCTCACTAGGCAAACTTAAGGGAAATAATTTTGCCTGCAAGCCTACATTCACATGGTACTCTGATATAGCATTAGCTATGATGTTGGCTACCTGACAGTGCAATCTCCCAGGTTACAATACCCTATAAACTAGACCAAAAATGGAATACCACCACACATGCGAGACTGCATGAGACTTACTGAACATAAAGTTTCTATGATAAAAAAGCAGCATTATACCATTCATGAACAGCAAACCCTGAACATATTATTAAACCTTACTCCTTCACCTTCACAAACAGTCACACCTTCCTTAAGTATGTTATCTTTTACATTATATCAGCTTAATTTGAAGCGATACAGTTCTACTCATCGCCTACATTTTACAAGTGATATGCAGATGCAGCTGTGACTGCAGATGCTCATAAAGGAAGAGGTAGTACATTTCGCAGTCTGCTTAAAATATATTAATTTCTCCCTTATTACCTTGTTAACAAAAGAGAGACCCAGGCCAACCTTCTAGGGGAACTTCCCTGCTAACAATGCCTGTCTTTTTTTTAAATAAGTAAATAAATAAAACCAGCATATGAAAGGCAGATATGGCTCCACTTGGTGAAAGGAAACTTGAAAACCAAGCTGTTGGCATGTCGTGCAATGGGGTTGCAGCAGGCCTACACCCACAAAGACACCTATGAGCCTCCCTTCGTGCAGAAGGCAACGGAAGGCAAAAGGGGTCGGGGGGGGTCAAAGGTTACCCATGAGGGCTCCAAGGGGGAGCAGGGAGCGGAGCCAGCACCCACTGACCCCCCAAGCCCCGCCGGGAGAAGGGGCTGGCAGACTGCCCCAGGCCCCGGGTCGTCCCCGTAGCCACAGTCTCCCTCCGGGCCCGACACTTGCAAGTGAGGAGACTCCAACCCCAAAGACCTAAGCAGCGGCCACAGCCCCGCACACGCGCAGGACCTAACGTAAACGGCTTCCGCAGCGCCCCAAAGGAAGGGCTACGGCTCGGCCCCGCAGTGGAAGCCCCAGGCCCCGGCGGCCCCAGCCC